TGGCCCGCTCCGGCGCCGGGGACCACGCGCGACTGGTTAGATCTTGTCGTGATCTCTGGAAAACTGTGACTATCTCACATGTCCTGCCCTGCTCGGATCCCCTGCGCTAACGAGCCAGGCCCCCCTTGATTGCTGATTTTACGCTTTTTGGACCAATTGTGGGTCTCCGGGGGCGGGGTTTTGACAGCTCAGGCCAAGCTCTGGCCGGGAGGGGGGGCCGGGGAGAAGGTGTCGGAAGCCTCAGCAGTAAGAAAACATGTCAACAGAATAAAATATTAACCAATGACGGGCCAGCGGGCCCCGAGACCCCTCCCCCTGCCCCGGCCCCCACCTCGCCGCCCGCGCCCGCGGCTGCCTGCGCCGGGACGCGAAAGCTCGGCGGGCCGACCCGACCCGCCGAAAGGGCCTGAGGCGGGGGCGCCCGGGTCCCAGGGCCCTGGGGAAGGACCCCCAGCCGCACGCCGGCCCCAAGTGCAAAGCACTGACACGGCCCCGAGAGGAGAGGGGGCGCCCTCCCTCTCCCGCGCCTTGCCGCCCGGCCGCTCTGGCCCGCGCCCCAGCTTGGCCTCCGACCCCGCTCCCGGCCGCGGTGCCGCCCGGGGCCCCTGCACTCCGGAGGGAGGCTGCGGGTGCTGGAAAGAGAGGCCGGTGGGCTGGCGAGTCGGGAGGCGCGGGCGGCCGAGGTCCCGGAGTGGAACCCAGGTGGCGGGAGCCGGTGAGTGGAGCCGTGACAGAGCCCTGTGGGGTCGGCGTGGGCGGGAGCGGGACGCGGCCTTGCACTCGGGAAACGCGGGGACCCCCTAGCCCGCGCCTCCCCTCACAGGAAGACTCAGGAGGAACCTGGAGTTCCGGGCAAGCTTTGGATTCAGCCCAGTAACCGTCTGCGTCCCCGACCCAGCCCTGAGCCCTCCGACGGTCTGGAGAGCCGGTCCTTGGGCTAGGAAGGTGTGCGCACCTTCCGCCGAGCACAGGGCGGCACGGCGCGGGCTGATCCCGGCCCTCAGATTCTTGACCCGCGACCCAACGAATTTTCGCCGCATCCGGTACCGGTACCGGAGACATAAGCCTTCCTCATCCTAAACACCGGCATCCTCTCTCCGCCACTTTCCTAGAGTTTGTTTGCGACTCTCGGAAGCGCACGTCCTCCAAGTTCAGTACTGCCGAGTAATGAGTGTGGGGGTCGGAGTGTCTGTGCGCACCTGTAGCTGAACGCCCCTACCCCACTCTCCTCAATCAGTCTTGGTTCTCCAGCAGCCCCTTTATTACCCCCTTCATCCCCCGCAGTGTGTGTGTGTGTGTGCGCGCGCGCGTGTGTGCTTCGTGCCCAGTGTGGTGGTGCTCTCTCTGCGCAGCGGGAGCTGCAACTTAAGGCGTACGTCCTTAGAGTGAAGCGGCCACACACCTGCCTTGAATCGGGCTCCGGCGCCGACACTCGGACTGATTTCTGGCGGTCGCGTTCCGAAGGACAAGACGGACCACGCACTAGACACGGGTGGCACTCTTGCCCGCACAACCAATAAAGTGCGAGTGAGTTCGGCCGGTGCGGGCCGTGTGCCCGCGTGGTGGGCGCGTACAGCCCACATCCAACAGTGACCCAGGCAACCTTGCCCATCCGCTGCGTACACCCAGTCGCAGGGCACCTTGTCGCTGCACGCTCGGACCTGGCATGTAAAGCCTGATCGCCCCGGGCAGTGCGAGTTCGGGACTGGCCGGAGCGGTTTGGCCTCCGGGACCTTTTTTCTACTTTTCCTAGCCGCCCCGGCGCTCTCGAAACTCCCCTACCCAGCGCGCAAATGGGCGCCGCCCCCACGAGGTCTTCGCGACCTCGCTCTTGACTGGGTCGCTCCTCTCTTAGTGCCTCCTCTCTGTCCAGAACGAATTTTCGGCTCCGCGCTGCGCAGTCTACGCGGCCGAGGCAAGATCCGTTGCAGCTGTGCACAGGCAAAGTCTTGCCGGCTCCATCTTAGGCAGGATGTGGCCCCTCGGGGAGGGGCGTGTGCGGACAGGTTTGCTCAGTCTGTGAGGTGACCAGAAAATAGCCAGAGCGGTGTTCCTTAGCCGGGAATCCGGGTACGGGCCTGGGAATCCGTGAATATATTTGCAGAGTCGTGTGTACACATACTTTCGGACTAGTAAAAATGTATGTATACCTGTGTGTGTGCAATTTGGATATTTTCCTGGGGAACGTCCGTATCTGGTCCAGGGGTCCAAGGCCCGGAGAGTTTGAAACACGCGGGCCTGGGTTGTTTGCCCAAGAAACCCGGCGGCGACGGTGCAGCGGCTGCATTTGGGGCCCACGATCCCACCTGGCCACAGCCAGTGGGCCACGGACCTGCCCTCCGGTGGCCACAGGCTCTTTCCGGGCCGGGCCCCCACCGTCTGCGCCGCTGTCCCGCAAGGTCCTGCAACAGCTGCTCTCAAGACTTTGAGTCTACTCCCCAGCCAAACTCTCCAGCGAGGAAAATCCATGGTTCACGGAAAACCCGCGCAGGGGAGGCCCAGGCGGCCCCGGAGCGGCGCCGTGCGGCGCCTAGTTCCCTCTTGGCCCCTCCCCCACCTGGGTCTACCCCTCTTCCCCTTCGCAGGAACAGGCGCCCCTGGGGGGTCCCCGGGGCTGAGAGTGCGTGTCTCTTTAAGAGGCCCCGGGGGGCGCCTCGCGAGCCGCCGGGAGCTGGAGGGGGAGGGCACGGGCGGGGGCGGCTGGCGCCAGGCGGCCGAGGCCCCACAACAAAGCTCCGGCCCCTGTCACTTCGCATCGGCCGGGCCCCGCAGACGGGCGGGGGACGCGCGCTCAGCCGCCCCTCCCTCTCCCAGGCGGTCCTGGGCGCGGGCGTCGGGCGGGCGCAGGCCTCCCGGCCTCCGGCCCGTTGCGCGCGCTCAGTACGCTCCGCGCTTCCCGCAACAAGGAAATTGGGCGGGGGCGGCGGGGGCCGGGTGGGGCCGCCGTCCTGAGCCTGGCTGGGCTGCTGGTCCGTCCTTGGCCCCGTAACCTTTCGCGGGGTCAAGAGCCACTGCTGAGACCTTTCCTGGGTTGGTCCCCGCCGGTGTCTTTGGTCGGTGTGACTAAGCGTGATCTGCGTGCGCCCGCGGGCATGGCTTGGGGATGTATGGCAGAAGGGACGTACGTCCGGGTAACCGGGCGCTGGCGTGATACTGGTACTAAGTGCACGGTCGTGTATGAGTGTGTCCGGGCTAAGCTCGGGTGACGAGTGTGGCCCTACGCGTGTGACCAGCAGTGGAGGTGCAACTGGGTGCGTCGGTCCCGGTCTTGGCGTGTTGTGTGTGTATGCAGGGGGGTGGGGCAGACAGACAGAGTTGCTTCTCATCTCTGGCTTCCCGGCCGGACCCGCGCCTCCCAGAGCCTTGGCGCCAGCCAGCCCCGTTTAGCGGCCGGGCCCGGCTCCCCCGCGGTCCCGGGTCTGGCTGGGGTGGGGGCCGCGGCCTCGATGACCCCGGCCCGCAGCGGCCCGGCCTGTCCCTTCCACTTAGACAAATTGCGGCTGACAGGCACGCAGTCTCTCTGGAGTCGCCGCCCGCCCGTCGCCTCCCTCCCGACCCAATTACCCCGCGCAGGGTCGGGCCAAGTGGCTGGGATGGGGCGGGGGGCGCGGGGAGAGTGGGAGGCGCGACCTCTTCTCGGCCACATTGTGGCCCCGGTCTTGCGCCGGGACGGGCGGCGGGGCCGCTTCTTCCGGTTAGGTCCCGCAAAGTGCCTGGGCAACCATGGCTTTTGAGGTCAGTCCCCAGTCTTCCAGGCTGATGCGAAGGCGAGGCCCAGCCTGGCCGCTGTGGCCCGGGACAGAACTGGCCCTCAAGGGGCGTCGCTCTGCACCTGAGAGCGAAGTCACACGGCCAGCAACCAAGGACGCGTCCCCGCCGGACTTTGGACGACTTCCCCAGAGTTTTGGGAATCCCGTAACCCCGGAAGCTCCAGAATATTTTCTGCTTTGGCGTCGAGGTCCGCGAGTCACAGCTGTCCACTTGGGACCCCGGGTTCGGCAAAAGTGAGGTGCACATCTGTGAAGCTGCGTGTGCGTGGACGTGCACGGGTGTGAGATCATGGGTGTAGCTGCCTAGGATGGCGGCAGCATGAACAGGCCACGAAGCTATGTGGCTTGAAAGTGAGGGAAAAGCGCAGGAAGGACCCCTAGGACCGGCCCACCTGCGAGAGAAGGGCGGGGCTGGCCTGCGCGCGCTCACCAGACTCTTGATTCGCTTTTAGAAACGCTTTCACAGGGAGCGGGGCCGGGATTCCCTGGAGCAGCTTCGGGGACAGCGCGCTACAATCCGGGCCCCAGCTGCTCCGCACGCGCCCTCCCTCTCCCCGCGGAAGAGCTACCTGGCTGTCCAGTCAGCCTCCTGGCCTCGAACCAACCTTTTGCCTTTTGACCTGCAGCTTCCTCTTTGCCTGCTTCAGCCTATTTGCTCCCCTCGTCAGGGCGTGCTCCCCTCCCCCCACTTTAGAGATGAGGACTCTGAAGCCCAGAGGTGCAGTAATTTACTCGAGGCCACACAGCTACCCGGTGGCAGAGCAGGGATGGGACCCTGGGACCTGCAAAGAGAGTAAGGTGGAATCCACTCCTTAGAAGGTGGTGATGTCATTGCTGTCCCACTAGCTACCCCTTCTCATACAGCAAGGGCAATAATGAGACTCCAGTGCCCCACCCTAAGGCTGGGCTCTTGCTTTGAATACAAGGCATTACAAGATGCTCTCTCCCTTTGCCCTGGAGTTTCCAGCTCTAGGTCTGCAGGAGGGGGCAGGCTTCTCAGTTACACAAGGACAAGGGAGCAGCTTCAGAGTCAGTGGGGGGCTGGGGCTGGAAGCTCGTAGGGGTAGGGGATGGGGGTGAGGGAGATCAGAGTCTTGGATTGTGTGGGGGCACAGGACAGGGAGGTCAGGGCAGAATTGGGGCCTCAAATGGAACTGGCCAGGGCATGTGAGGCAGCGAAGTGCAGACAGGGGTCAGCAGATTAGCTGTGTGACTTTGTAACGTTGGGCAAAGCCCTGGCCTCCTCTGGGGCTCAGGCTTTTCATCTGCAAAATGAGGACCGAACAGTGCACTCTTAGCTTCCTTCTAGTTTAGATTCTCTGATCTGTGAAAATCAGAAAAATCAGCACTGAGAAACCATTTCCAGTCCCCAACCGGCAGCTGCCTGCTCTGCCTCTGCCTGCTTCCAGAGGAGCTGACACCAGTGTTTGATAGAGTGCCTGTGCGCCTGAATTTGCCTTGGGACCACTGGGCCTTTTCTCAAATCAATCCCAGACAGTGCCCTCCCTCCTTGAGCTGCAGCCCCAGCTCCTATTAGCCTCCTCGCAGACGGTAAAGGTATTTTTTCCTCCGTTAAACTGAAAGTCCATAGTAATTTGCCTGTTGAGCAGGTAGTGCTATGAGAATCTGGGAGATCACATGGCTTCCTCAATGTACCCGGTCAGGCCCCAATTAGATGCATGTTCTGATGGTCTCCTGAGTGCTGCCATCATGGCAGTCTGCTGGGGCCGCAGTGGGTGAGGCGGAGATTGCCTGGGTGTTATCTCTAGAGGATAGGAGGCTGGCTGCTCCAGGGCCAGTGGGCAGTAAGGTCTCCCACCCTGTGGCCCAGCTCTCACTTCCAGCTGATTACAGGCTGTGGCAGGGCCCATAACCTTCCCAATTAGCCGGGGGCCAGGCCCAAGGCCTCTCTGATAACCCGAGCTCCAGTGGCAGCCGCCATGGGGCCAGCTTATCTGGCCTCTCTTATCCTCCCCCTTCCCCCACATACTCAAAGAGTTGTCCTGGCTGTGAGCAGATGAATAACCAGATTGTCCTGCAAGCTCAGCCGGGAAGTCCAGCCCTACACCCACCACTTTCCCCGACTGGAGGAGGCCACAGCTGTTTTGCACCCCCTGGAGGGAAAGGGCTGAGCCAGGAAGGACTCTTGACTCTAAGCTGCCCGCCGGTTCCCTGCATGGTTGGAGAGAGGTCCTGGCTCTCCATCTTTGCCCCATCCACGTGCCCTAGTCTGGGTTCAGAGGGGCTCACCCTTCCAAGAGCTCTGAACCCATTCCCGGGGAGCCAGGTCATGGGCAATGTGCATAGGCAGCCTGGTGTCACCCCCCTCCCTGTCCTCTTTTGACTGAAACACTGCTCCGGCTGCATGTGGGGGCTGTGCCAGGCACATCAATGTCTCCAATTCAGCCAAAATGGAGAAAAGTTGCTGCTCGTTGGGCAGCCCCCACTGGCTGTGCCCAGGTCCCCTCACGCTCCCAGCATGCTTCAC